TTGTCGTAAAATTGAGTGTTTTTGTTTTCTTTTTGCGGTAATACACTGCATGAAAACCTGTTAAACCGAATGTACACTTTTTAATACATTACATAGATCTTTGAAAAACTTTCACTAATTTGTCAATATTGATTCAGTGTTAAAAATTATTTAAAAGGCAGGTTACCACTCACTTATTTGCGGATCGACATATACCTTATATAAATGTTTTGTGTAGAAATAAATAAAAAATTAGCTCGAATATTTTCGCTACGTCCATCGGGCTGGCATGAACTGGTGGTTAAGGCCCTTGACTCGAAATCTAACAGTTGCGGTTTCAAATCCCGTCTTCGAACGTGCTTACCTTTCAGCCGTATGGACGTTAGAATATGACAGTCAATCCCACTATTCGTTGGTAAAGAGTAGGCCAAGAATTGGCGGTGGGTGGTGTTAACTAATTTACTTTTCTATAGTATACAATTCAAAATTAAGAACGGCTAGTGTAGACAGCCCTCGAATAGCTTTGCACGAAATTATAACAAAAAAAATAAACCTTAGTATGTCAAACCAATGATGGAAGGTTCCACCTCGTCGACTAATCAAAATTAGTGCAATACATTATAGATTTAATATATATACCTCAGATACACGAAGCTATTCCTGACTCGCACATAATTAATATAACTAATTACTAAATATACTGGCCCGGCATGGTCAGGTGGTTAGGGCGCTCGTCTCACAATCTGTGGGTCGCGGATTCGAATCCCCGTCCCACCAAACATGCTCGCCCTTTCAGCCGTGAGGGTGTTATAATGTTATGGTCAATCCCACTATTCGTTGGTAAAAGAGTAGCCCATGAGTTGGCAGTGGGTGGTGATGACTAGCTGCCTTCCCTCTAGTCTTACACTGCTAAATTAGGGACGGCTAGCGCAGATAGCCCTAGTGTAGCTTTGCGCGAAATTCAAAACAAACACACTAACTATACTGAATACCCAATAGTGTTGAAAAACATTTAAAATTCTACACTACTATTTTGTGATTATGCCCCAGTATAAATAGTTGTAATTCGGTATATAGGTGGTAGAGGGACGAACTAATGTAAAAAAAAAAATTATGCAACAAGATCAGAATCAGAAGTTGTTATGTATGTTTCTCTTTCTTACTTCCAGGGATTCTTTTCATCAGCTATTTAATTTAATGACAAAATTAAGTTGAATAACATCAAAGAAAGAATCTGGATAAACTGGAATTTGTTAACGAAATAAAAAATATAAAATAACAGTATAATATCTTTAAGTTACAAAAAAATCATCGTTTGTCAGAGAAATTTCAATCATTGATGTTGGAAGCAAAGTAGTTAATGTAAAATATTCATGTATACTGTGACCGATGGGCTCAAACATAAAGAAAAGTAAAGGTCGAATCATCATTATCGCAGTTTCTATGTTTTTTCTTTTTCAGCTCATAGTGAATTTTAGAAAATATCTTTAAGTATTAATACTATAATATTTCAATTGTAAATTATTAACGTCCCAGATGATATGACGTTTATTTTTTCACTTTAGCCATTACTTGTCGAAAATTAAAACAAGATAACAGTTACAAGACGATAATGTCAACAGCTGTGCGATTTGGCTGTCCGAAGGGTAATGTTCTGAATGGTTCTTCTACAATAAAATGTCTTCCGTCTGGGGAATGGTCTGATGAAGAACCAAATTGTGTTTCTGAAGGTGAAGTATTTTAACCAGAAAATGCTATTATTACTTGTAAGCAGGTGTAGAGAAACACATAACAATTAACAATGACTAATCGTGTTATTCACAAGGTAATAATTTTATTCTATTTTAGTATTACTGCTGTTGGTTTAGAGGAAACAGTAATGAGAAAGTTATAAGTTTTTCAGTATTATTACATTTTACACCCAACAGATGGCACTTTAGTTGTATTATGTTCTTTTTTCTTATTTCTCTTACATTAAACATCCCTAAATCAGAAGGAATATAATATGATTAAAGAAAAATAATATTTGAAATTATGATGAAGTAAAATTCTTAAAGATTATACATTTAAAACGTATCTAATAGAATTAGCAATATTTTTAATATTTAATGCATCTGCCCCACGGCAGGTCAGTGATAAGCTTGAAGTCTTAGTACGCTGCAAAACCAGTTTCGATACCTGCGTAGGCTATAATATAGAGAACTCATTTGTGTTAATTTTGTGCTTAAACGCAAACAAGCCATGCTTTACACAAAGTGTTGCTTGATCATATTTAGGTGGTTTACGTTTCTCTAATATCTATTTTACATTATAATATATATATATAATGTTGTAGTAGCAGTTGGTTTTCTTGCAATAAATGCAAACAATCATGTTTAGATTTTGGTATTTTGGACGTACTTCTATGTATTCTCCGCCATATATTTCACAAAATATTCTGGCGGCATTGGCTTATTTATCTGTAAAATCTGTGATTTAGTAAACAAGTTTATTATTGTTTCCATTAAGTGTAATTATCGTTTGTGTAAGGTTGAGTAGAAGAGACACATGGTTGTTATTACATGGTTTATTTATCATTTGTTATTTGTAACGTAGAAAGATGCAATTTATGACGTTTTTAAAGAAGAACCTAAGGCATTATAGTTTCAAACTATTTTGCAATTATATTAAAAACTGTATTCAAAGCTGAACTCTGTGTGGTGACCAGTTCATAGATGACACTTTTTCTACCTATTAATGTGATATTTCCTTTGTATGTATTTAGTAAGCAGTTTCCAAACTCTGCTCCACTGGTATTCTCCTTATCTTACTTTTACAATCAACAGATGGCGCTTTAGTTGTATTATCGATTTTTTTTTAATTCCTTTGACTTTTTTTTTTTCGTTTCTAAAATTTGTCATCTTTAAATTCATAAATGATTTTAATTTCGATTTTTGCCAGGTTATAGTTTTATTTCCATTACATTGCATATAAAGAAATGCTTTGGAACCATAATCTTTAGAAAAAAAATAACAACCCTTCAGAAAATCATATTTATCTAATAATTCTCAATATATATATATATATATATATAAGCCCTTTAAAGTAAACAATCGTGACGTTTTAAAGATATTATTAATAGGAATGGAAACAAAATAAAGGTTGCTTTATTTCACATGTCACTTTGCCACATCAATTTCTATGTTTTTCATTCTCATCGTAACATTGAAGTATATTAATATTACACAGTACACAACCAACAACTATTATACAACGTTTACGCAAACTCGAGATGAATTAACTGGATTTCTTTACAATTTCATAGATGACGCCACATCGAATCCACAAATGGCGCTCACGATTCCCAAAGATCAATGCTCAAGACCAGATATCTCTCATCGACAAGGGTTATTATTAAATCCTGATAAACAAAGATATCGATACGCTGAGAAAGTTACGTTCCACTGCAAGGCACCACTTAAAATTAAGTTTGGATCTGCAATAATGACTTGCATGGATGCAGGGTCTTGGAGCACCAAAAATTTTCCACAGTGTGAACGATGATGAAAATATGGTTGAATTTGAAACAACAACAAAAATCGTATATTTTAACGTATGCATTGATAACTTATTATAGAAATATCATGTTTCACTTTCCTCGTAATTTTCATCTGCTTTCTTTTATCCTTCTATGAAAGAATCTGTTTTGCATCATAATATTACCTGATGCCAAAAGATGGTCTTTAGTACGAAATGTTTCGTTGTAACTCTTCTTACGTTAATTCGTTATTCTTAAAAGAGTAAAAAAAAAAATATTTGTAGCGCTTTTTCTTTTTTTTATTGTTGTTTTAATTTCAAAAATATTTCTATATTTTGTTCTTAAATCTTGTTGACACAAGTAGCACAGCGGTATGTCTGCGGACTTGCAATGCTAGAAATCGGCTTTCGATATTCGTGGTGGGCAGAATACAGATAGCCCATTGTGTAGCTTTGTGCATAACTTAAAACAAACAAGCATTCCTTTTGGCATATTCTGTTTAAATTCCATGTATGTTTAAAACGTGCCTGAGCCGCACCACAAATTGTTGTATATTAAAATCGCCTTTGTTCAAAATTTTAATAGATATATTCATATAGTGTTTGGAAAGTTAGCTAATCGCTTGGACACTGCGATTATGGAGAGAAATAGAGAAATTTGTTATATCCATATTATGACACACACAAAGAGTGTAAGAAAAATAATAACAAAAACTTGTATTCAAATAACCTTTATAAACAAGTTTAATTTACTTTAAGCCCCCCCAGTGGCACACCGGTATGTCTGTGGACTTACAACACTAGAAACCCGTGGTGGGCAGAGCACAGATAGCCCTTGAGTAGCTTTATGCTTAATTAAAAAACAAACAATTTACTTTAAGCATCTCTCTATCGTGTATACAAAATAAACGAGTCGTTAGTTGATGTAATTAAATTGGAGGGGGGGATAAAAAAAATCAAGCTTTAAACATAGACAGTTATTTTAGTCTTCGGTCGAAGACAGTTCTTTGTTTACTAAGTTATTCATTAGTGACCTTTGGAAGTGTGAACTTACTGAATGCAATTAGTAGTAGTTGTTTTTTATTTGTTTTTGAATTATACGAGGGCTATCTGCGCTAACCGTCCCCAATAGAGCAGTGCAAGACTAGAGGGAAGGCAGCTAGTAATCACCACCCACCGCCAACTCTTGGTTTACGGATAAAAGGACGAGCATGTTTGGTGGGACGGAGATTCGAACCCGCGACTATCATATTGCCAATCAAACGCCCTACCTACTTGGCCAATAGCAGTCGGATTTAGGCAACTTCGCATATTGTACGGAAGATACCCCGCCCCTCGCGTGGTACAGCGGAATGTCTGCGGACTTACAACGGTGTTTCTTTCCATACTTGTGTTGGGCAGAGCACAGATAACCCATTGTGTAACTTTGTACTTAATTACAAACAAACTTTTCTATTCATGGACAGTTCTGGGCAAGTTACAATATGTACTGTAACATAATGCAAATGTTTTAACAATATTCTGGTAAGTAGCAACTTAGATTATGACAGGGGGGGGTTATTAATATCAATGAACTAAAATATTATTTGTATAGTGAGTTTTTTATAGTTATAGTAAATTTATCTAAATTGAAATAAAACACGAATGGCTGTGTTCGTTGTATAATGTGTTTCATTATTCTTTGTTGCAATAAAAAAATTGAATTTGTCATATGATGTTTTCTGTTTTTTATAATGTATTATCATGCTTAACTGTTCAAGTTATTATCATTTGTATGAAAATAAAATAAAAATCAACAGATGTTTATAAAGGTAGATAAGGCCTTCTTTATTAAGGAAGCGACCTCAGATAATAACCTTCATTTTCATTAAACCTACGTCAAATTTGCTCTAAAATTACAACTACAAATATTTTTAGATGCTATGACTTAATCAACAAAATAATTTTCGATCAAAACTCTTTAATGGCGTAAACTGTATATAATGGACTAGCTAATAAATTTAAGTTCAATAAAACACTCGTGTTTCTAAATTACGATAATTACAAAGGCTGTTTACGATATATTAAAACGATTTTGGAGACATATTGACCATTACTGTCCACGTCACAACGTCCTGTGACGCTCTGTCTGATGCTATCGCACCTTGACAATATCCCAGAAGCGTAGTTTCCACCAGAGAAGGCTCATTTGTAAGACTGCCATGTCCAAAGTATATCCCTAATCTCTGTGGGTTTCCCCTAAACCACTTACTGAATTTCAACAATAAAATTGCACAGAAATACACAACGTGGTCACAAGTAAATAGACACCACCTTTTCAGAAAAAATGAAAATTTTTAGTCTTATTCCCATGAATTGATATATTTATAATTTAATTAATATCTAGTAGATCTTCCTTTCACTTCGTGGAGTTCGTTGATCATTTGGGGCATCGTGAGAATCATCTCGTCAATTTTAGATTGTGGGATTTTCGCCCACTCTTGCTTCAAAACTTGGAGTAGATCGCTCTTCGAAGTTGTTTTTTTTTTGGTTCTTTCTTGACTTGCTGGTCGAGTTTGGCCCAGAGGTTTTCGATGGGGTTTATGTCAGGAGATTGGATCGGCCAGGGCAACTCCTGGATACCATTTTCTTCCTGCAACTTTTGGGTGTTTCTAGCAGTGTGACACGGTGCTTTATCTTCCTGGAACAACGTTGTGTTCTTGTCCACGAAACCCGAGGAATGAAGTGGCAAGAGTCCTTCCTCCAATATTTCGACGTATTTCGCAAAATTTATGTTGCCAATGCACTCCACTAAGCTCGATCTCCCACCAACCCAAACAGCTCCCCACACCATCACGCTGAAACCACCATGCTTCACAATTGGCAGCAATCTGTTGAGCCAAAACTCTTGGTGAGGCATTCTCCAGACCCATATCCTTCCACTGTCCGAAATTTGAGCGAATCTTGATTCGTCTGAGAACAATACGGTCTTCCAAAAGTCCA